CTGCCCGCGTGATGCGCGTGAGCCGTGACCAAATCGAGTTGCTGTCCACTTTTCTTCGTCGCCGCGTTGCCCCGCTGTCACTAAATCCCTTCTCCTTCCCACCTTGCTTCACACGTAAAAGCATCTTTGTCCTTCTCTTGTTTCTTGCCCTCCTCTCCTACATTGCCATGGCAATTGCATCGCCGGTCGCTCGTTCTTGTTTCTTGTCCCCCTCTCCTTCTTCGCCATGGCAATTCCACCGTTGGTTGCCCTGATTTCAGTGAAATCAAACACTCCCTCCCTCCTCGTAGTTGAGGTAGGAAACTATAAGCCCCCCCCCCTCCCCCTCAAAATCGATCACAAGCGAAATCGCCGGGAAACAATAAATGGATTTGCTATGGTAATTTCTTGTAATGATTTGCCATGTGGATTTTCCATGAAGAAATTTATGCATATGCTAGGGGGGAGTTGCCACGCGAAATCGCATAGACTTGTTATGGGATTTCAGTACATGCGATTGCCCTGTTCGATTTGATCTCAAAGCATGCAATTGTATATTCCCTCTGTACCGAAATATGTGTCGTTGAAGCAAGTGTAGTTCAACTTCTCCAGCGACGTATATTTCGGTACGGAGGGAGTATTTGACAGAAATTTGCTATGACATTGTATGTAAATGTGCCATGTATAAAAAGGTGTGTGTTAAGCTGTGTGAGAAAATTGTATGAGATGAATAGACTCTCATATGATATTGACATAGAATTCTGTGTTTTGTACTGCTTAGAATTGTCATCGTATTGTTTGTGAAAATGCGGATGCAGTAGATTTGGACTTTTTTACTGTTCATAGGGTGCAGATGAGCTCAGGCTCAGAAATGAATATTCGAGTGCATGATAGCCTATCATATGATAATGACATATAGTGCGTATGTTGGACATAGATTTGCCATGGCAGTCTATGATTAGCCATATGGACATGTGTGAAAATGCCATTTCAATCTATGGGGAAAACATATCATGAGAGGTAAATTTGCATGACTTTTAGTTTATTGTCATGTGATACTGAGGTATGTTGCCATTAAAATATGAAAAATAAAATAAAAAGCACAATAATTACCACCGTAAGGGCATGTCCAATGGGGAGGCGCTTGAGTAGTCGCTTAAGAAAGGGGAACAAATAAAAGCACCTACATTAGCAGGGTACCCTCCAATGCAAAGTGTTATTCCATAGGCGCTTAGACAACCAAATTGCACTAATAGAGCACCTAAGCGTCTGGGGCAAATTAAAGCGTCGGAAGCCAGCTTTGGATTGGAAATAAAACGCGCACTAGCAAAACTACCTGGATTGTTTTCCCTAGCGCCCACTTAAGCGTCCCCATTGGAGATGCCCTTACCCCCACTTAAAAGCTAAACATATTTTCATTCAAAAATGACGAGTATCTGACATACTTGTTTGGAATCTTTTGCCATTACTGATGAACGAACTTTACATGAGAGAGACAACACTGGTATATGCATTATTTGTCCCTCGCTTAACATGTTTTTGATTTTTGTGATTCTTTGCAGTTGCAACAAAGAAGATGGATACAAGAGGTAGCAGCCAACTATGGACGAATGTCTGGTGGGTCGTGCCACTGTTGACATACGCGCAAGCAATGATGACATAGTTCGACGCTTTGGACTCGTCTTATCCCATTCTACCCCTCCCGCTCCATATCTACCGAAGTATCAGGTGGTCACATATGTTATATTTTGCCATGTTTGTTTAGATTGTTGTTTGCTGGCGTGCAACAAAAAAGAGGCTGAAGATGCTATTTGAATACTCATTGCAAACTAACTAACCTATTTTGTGGAGGCTCTCATGAGTTCCATCAAGTGATGTCGGGGTCCGATCCCGCGACAACATTCGCTGCTAAGAAAGATGTACTTGTGAAGAGCTACATGAAAAATAATTGCCATGAACTGTGAGTACATATTACCATGCATTACGAAAAAGTTATTATCAACTAACAAAGTATTTGTCAATCTTTCTAAAACCTTTTTATGGGAACCCACAAGGGGAGAGATCGGCATGCCTCCACGCGACCGCCAGAATCCACACAAAGTGGAACGACAGACCACGAGAGCTCAAGGGGCTCGTCCGAGTAGAGCAACATTAATGTTAGCTGCTCCAACTAGGCTGGCAAGAGGTTCGCCCGATAAGGCCGACATCGGTGTACATGGCAGCGGAGCGCACGCGTGCTCACAGTGAAGACAACTGGCAACTCAGAAAGTCGCGGCCACCATGGCTACCGTCAGGCCACGCACTCGAAGACTAGCGGGCATCGTCTTTGGCCAAATTCTGCCGCACCTCTCTGGGCGGTGGGGCCTGCCCCGAGGTAGGTAGGAAGAGCTGGGGGTGCTGTCTGAGTGGATGTAGCACCACTCATCAATCCACCCTCTCGGCTCACCATTGTAAACCATGGGTTGTAGCGTTTGGCGGAGCCCTTGCGGAGGACGAAACGATAGTTGCCCGCCACCTCTTCCCCTTCAGATGGTCGGAGGACGAAGTAGTGGTGAAAGAGCGCCATGGAGGGTGTCACCCCCATGAACATCTCACCTGTGTTCTGAAGTCCTTTTTGAAAAACTGGTTCCTCCTTTATTCAATCAATAGAGTAGCATCGTTTACAACCAAGGGAACCACCTCACTCGGAGGAGAATCCATCCAGATAGGGGGAGAGTAGCCTAGCTAGTTCATGATAGCCTAGCTAGTTTATGAGCGACCTGGTTGCTCTCCCTATTACAATGATGATACACAACGTGATTAAAATCTAACAACATATAATAACAGTCATAAAAAATGGCACTAGCAACTGAACTAGAAGTACCATCTGTCAACGTGTTTTGAAGTCTAGTTGGAATTCACAGGACATGTCATCTCAGTTCTACTCCCTCTGTCCCAAAATATAAGAACGTTTTAACACTACACTAGCGTAAAAAACGTTCTTATATTATGGGACGGAGGGAGTAGTTTTTTTCTTCTATTCCTACGTTTCAAAATGCCTGCAATCCAAAGAAACCCTAAAACTACCCATTTCCATTTGCACCATCTAAAGACACATCTTATAAAATTCCAGTGTTTTGTAACACTGTAGAATACA